AGAAGAATATAATATTAGTTAGCATAATAAAACTACTAGAGGCTCTTTATAGTCTCTAAGAGGTATTATATACTAAAGTTAACTTTCTAAACTTTCTATAGAAAGTTAGTAGGTAATCTCTAGAAATATCTCTTATAATTATATTTCTAGTAGTTATAGTCTATCTAGCTATACTTTATAAAGATATATAGTAGTTCTAGGTATAGTAGGCTTATAGTAAGAATAATAGAAGCTATAATTATTAGCTAGAGACTATTATATATTATTTAGAGGGTAGTTATATTACCTATAAGGTATCTTACCTAGACTTCTTATAGTATAGCTACCTTTTATAGTTTAGTAGCTCTTTTTTACCTTACTTCTAACTCTTATAATTCTTAGTCTACTTTATCTAATACTAGGCTATTCTAGCCTAGTAAGGGTAAGTAAAGCTTATTAGGCATAGCTATAGTCTATACCTACTAGCTCTAAGTTCTATTAATTATATTACTAGAAAGAGTATATTAAGTGCTACTTAGGTTAGAAGTAAGAGCCTCTATAACTCTTACTATAAAAGAGTTATTCTAAGTCTTAGGAGGTTATACCTTCTAGAGTTTAGAAGTAAGTTTCTCTACTAAAGGACTAGAGTAGGTACTTATAATCTATTTCTATAATATTTTACCTTAGTAAGAGAGTAAATAGAATATTAGAACCTCCTTTAGTATAAACTAAGGGAAAAGTTATAATATAATAAGATAATAGAGTTATTAGCTATAAAGTCTATTTATAGACTATAGACTATTTACTACTAAGTAGTAATAGCTATAAGTAGAGTATATATACTAGTTCTACTCTATAGCGCCTTATACCTATTAGCACTAGAACTAAGTAACTAGCTAAGCTAATAGTAGGTAGGTTTTATAATAGAATATAGCTTAAAGAGCTATATAGTAGTAGATTATAGTAAGAAGAAAGACTTAGTTAGGAATAGTTTAAAAGCTTAGTAGTCTTAGCTAATTAAGAGCTACTAGGTTATACTTAATAGCTTCTAATTAGCTGCAACTATAGTTATACTATAATAAGGTAAGAATACTATATCTATATAACTACTAGTTCTATAAGCCTATAACTTAGATATTTTATATTTATATATATAATAGTATTCTATAAAGCTTTTAAAGTTTATAAGTATAGTTTACCTATAGTTTACTAGAATTAGATAGACCTAAAATAGCTTATATAGAGACTTTAATAGCTTATCTTATATAGCTCTAAGGCTTATATTACTCTAATATATTCTATAGAATATATATAAATATTCTTAAAATAATTTTAAAAGGAAAGTAGCAAGAGACTAGAGAGATAATTAGAGAATACTAGATTTTTAGTAAAAGTAATTAGCTTACCTATTAATTAGCTTACTTATAGAGTATATTAGTTCTTAGAGATAAATATAGTAATAAAAAGCTAAAAAAGTTAGGTTATAGTAAAGTATAATATTATAACTAGTTACTCTTTATATATATATATAACTTATAACTCCTCTAATATACTAGATAGATAAGTTATCTAAATAGGTAAGTTACCTACTCTACTAAGACCCTACTAAAACTTATCTCTCTTATATAATACTATAATAATAATATAAATTAGAACCTTTAAAGAAAGCTAGAATATAGCTTATACTTTAGGCTATTAAATAAGATATAATACTCTCTCTATAATATACTATAGCTCTCTATAATATGCTATATAGAATACTATATAATTAATATACTAGATAACCTATATAAGTAGATTATATGCTTAAATTAAAGAACCTAGATAAGAATAAGAAGAAGGTAATTATTTAGTATATACTTAATCTAGATATAAGAGAGTTTACTTTCTAGCTAGCTATAGTAGCTAATATAGCTAATTCTTTATATAAAAAGTATAATCTAGGCTATATTAGTATAAAATAGCCTAATATATTTATTAAGTACTACTCTAAGCTCTAAGTAAGGTTTAATTATAAGTATAACTATAAGTAAGCTCTCTATAAGAATCTAGAGATTATATAAGGCTAGTTCTACCTTATATAGAATACTAAAGCTAAGTATAGTATCTAGAACTAAAATATATATAACTTTAATATAACTAGGTTTATAATAGGCTAGATATTAATAGTAGTAGTTATTATAGGCTTAGAGTGTTAAAGGTAGCTAAAGGCAGTTTAACAGAGTAATTAGGAGTAGATAATAGCTATCTAGAGTATAAATAGTATAGGATAGGCTATTCTACTCTTTATTATCTTCTAAGGTTATAACTACCTTTCTACCTAGTATAAAGAGAATATAATACCTTATAACTAGGTTATTATAGTCTCTAAGAATAGTTAGACTATAAATAAGCTTAGATTCTAGTAGCTATAGTACTTTAAAGCCTATATAGAGAGGTATGCTGTTAGAGAGTACTAACTACTAATTATTAATAGCTATAAGAGCTATAACTCTCTCTAATTCTAATAATACTATAAGAAGAGAAAGATTGTTATACTCTATATGCCTCTATACTTATTATACTTCTAATAGCTACTTAATATAAGTTATTTTTTACTATTAAAGAAGGTATATAGGCACTAAGCTAAAGATCTTATATATAACTAGATTACCTATATCTTAAAACTTAAGTTTCTGCTATACTTTAAATATATATATAATATAGTAATAACTCTAAGTAATATCTAGGGAGAGTTTGGAGGTACTAGATTAATTCTATTTAACCTAGAATAGGTTATAATAGGCCTTAATATTTTACTATGCACTCTATTACTACTTCCTATCTTTAATAAGCTCTAGTAGTTATTATAATTACCCTTTTATAACTAACTAGATGCTAATACCTAGTAAATACTAACACGCTTAGTATAATATTATATAGGCTATCCTATATAGTATAGTTTTATTATAAGTTATATAATAAGCTTACCTCTTAGTAGTTAAGCCTAAAGTAGGTCTTATATAGAGCTTATGCAGCTTATATTAAGCTTAGTAAGCCTAGCTTATATAGCTTATATTAAGCCTAGTAAGCTACTATACTCTCTATAGTATATAGCAAGTAAGAATATAACTCTTATAGTTTATATTTAACCTAAGTATTAATCTATAATATTAGATCTTAACTTAACCTTTAAGCTAGATAGTCTACTCTATACTACTTATTATTACTTCTTGCCCTTAAGATAGATAGATTATATCTATACTCCTTAGTGCAAGACCCCTTTAGTTTCCCTAATAGTATTTATCCCTAAGAACTAATTAAATAGTGCTTATAAGCTTTACTTAAAGTATAATCTTAATAGTAGTTCTATATACTCTAGAATACTCTAGAATTTAGGTCTTAATTAAAGCTAATTTAATAGAGAATTTAAAAGTATATAGATAGCTTACCTTCCTCTATTATAAATGCGCTAGAAAAGCTCTCTAAAGGTGCTAAGATAATAGCGCATTTGCTAGTATTAGTGTATAAGTAGGTTTCTAAGCTTTAAGATACTAATAAGGCTATAATATAATATAAATTATATAAAAGAAAGCATTTATAGTAGGAGGGGACTCTAATAGTTAAAGAGAGTATATAATTAACTACTCTAGAGGAGTTTACTATATATAGTAATAGAAAATATATAAAGAAGATAGTATATACTAATAAAGATTAATAGACTATAAGACGCTATAAGTAGTACTAGGAGATAGAGTATAAGTTATATATATATTAAAAGAGATTATAGATAGCTCTTCTATACTATAACATATTAAATTACTATTTATAGGCCTATAACAAGGTGTTATAGGCTAAAATAGGGTTAAGTTTTAGTAGGGTCTTAGTAGAGTAGGCAACTTACCTATCTAGGCGACTTACTTATCTAGTATATTAGTACTTTTTTAGAAGCTTTTAGTATATTACTTTATACCTTCTAAGTTTTCTTTATTTATAACTATAACTTCTCTTTTTTATTTACTAGCTATAGTTAGGTCACGTTATCTAAGCTTCTTTTAACGTGTCTAAATAGTGTTGTTGTAAAGATATTAGTATATAAAAGGTAGTCTAGTAGGCGCTTAGCAAGAGTGTTTTACTCGTTTAGTGTTCCATTCGTCTGTGGGGTGCGTTATGGAATTTCATCTTTGTCTTTAAAAGTATCACACTCTGCAAGGGCTTCTTCTAAACCTATGGCGTTGCGGTGTGGTGGAGATGGGGTGAAAGGGGTGTTTTGGTGGTCCGGCGCATCACACGCGCACGGACACGGTAGCGGTAGGAAGGGCGGGGAAGCTCGCATGACGGCCAACCTTTCAGCCATGCTCAGACCTGGGAGTCATCTGGGCGATCTGAAGCTCGCAACAGAGATTTGTGTTGCTAGCGATCCGAATCTTAGAGACGCACTGGGTCCTCCAATCTGGGAACACCAGATCCATGTACGGTATTTGCGGTACCCCTCATCTAGGCGACCGGAGATCACCCTTACTTGCAGCTGTCAACAGCAGCCACGCCTTAGCAGTTTCTATTGTCAGGCCTCAAAAATTCACAGATGCAGAATGTGCTCATTACAGTTACGGTCCATGCTAAAGCCTGGGTCTCTGGCGCCTGACAAACTCGCCCACCGTAAACTTCATGATCTCTACAGTAAGTCCATCGGCTGCTATGATTGATATGCTGAAGATATGAAGGGTCTATCATGCAGCCTGCGTACCTTTGCTATCAATGACGAAGCATTCGGCTCTCGAGTTCACCGAGTAGCGGTCATTCGTGCATAGTTCGGCATATAGCCGGATTTGCCTGAGCACAGGGGAGTATGCTGACAATTTCTTAGTTGATGACATGTTAATGTACCTTTAGAAGCCCATGGAAAGACAGAGACGCAGTTAAACGACAATTCGGAATGCAACTTGCTGGACTATTTTGAGTGCATCGTCCCCTTTTGGGACACATAGCAACAACACGCTTGGTCACTTCAGCACCGTCGCCTGTACAAATCAAGAAGATCACCTGTCGAGAGGTGCGCCAGTCGCAGTTCTGGAAGAGATGCCGTGTCAACACGCGGTTTCTGCTGGTTTTGGCCCGGTCACTTCGGGTTCTTGGCTATAGTAGTCTCGCCATCCGCCGGGCTTGTTTTGGAAAATCAACCAGACCCAATAGGGGACTCTTCCGAATCGATTCCCCGACTGCCTGCTAAAATGCGAACAATACGTCATCTCTTCGTTCCCTGGGCTCTCAGTCAATATAACCATGCTCTCACCACATGTGAAATTTGCCTTACTTCAATCAGCTGACTACGCTTTTACATAGTCTCGAAACCAACAGCTGCATCTCAACACGCCATCATGTCCCACGCCTTAGTTTTGGGAGCCTCTGGAATATCTGGCTGGGCGCTGCTCAACCAGCTCACGCGATATCCTGACCCTACAACATTTTCGCGAATCACTGGTCTCTCAAATAGACCGCTCACCCTTGAGCAAGCCCAGCTTCAAGCGGATCCGAGGCTCAACCTCGTCAACGGTATCGATTTGACGAAATCGGTCTCTGAAGTCTCGCAATTATTAAAGGAGAAGGTAGAAGATGCAGCAAGTATCACGCATGTTTTCTTCACCGGTACGATCTTCTCACGAGCACGACTAAGCACATAGGCTAAACTATAGTCTGCAGCATACATACAGACTGGGGACTTCGAAAGCCTGAAGAAAATCAACACTGACCTGCTAAGAGTGGCCGTTGAAGCCATTGAAAGGGTCTCCAAAAAACTCAAAACAATCATTCTCCAGACTGGCGGCAAAGGGTAAGCTACCTCACTTTGTTCCCCTTCTCCGAACCCTCTGTATCGGCTATGGAAACGTCTGCTGACAGCTTTCGAAGGTATGGTTTAGAATTCCCCAAAGAGGTGGGTGTCCACCCACCCCTCCGCGAGGACATGCCACGCATCCCCGAGCCGTACGCAAGCAAGATCTTCTACTACACCCAATACGATCTCCTCACCGAACTGTCTAAGGGCAAGTCATGGACCTTCTCAGAAATCCGTCCTGATGGCATTGTCGGGTTCACACCTACATCAAACGCGATGAACATGTCACAAGGCATTGGCTTATATCTTTCCATATACCGAGAGGTACATGGCGAGGGTGCCGTTGTGCCGTTCCCTGGAGAAGAGCATGGTTACCAATCTACCCACTCCGACACCTTCCAGGATGTGCTTGCGAAAATGGAAATCTATGCTGCAACGCACATTGAGATGTGCGGCAACGGCGGCGTTTTCAATGTCGCAGACGGACAGACAGTTACATGGGCGCAAGTATGGCCTAAGCTCGCTGCGCACTTTGGTCTCAAGGGCGAAGGCCCTAGATCGAACACCACCCCGATGGAGCAGTTCGTCAAGGACAACCAGGAGACGTGGAAGGCACTTGCGGATAAGTACGGTCTCAAGACCAGGGTGACGGAAGAGCAAAACTGGGGTCACGTACACTTCATGCTTGTGCAGTTTGACTTTGACAGGCAGTATGATTTGAGCCGGGGTCGAGAGGTCGGATTTAAGGAGGAGATTGACACAGCACAAGGTTACTTCCTCTCTTGGGAGAGAATGAGGTCTGCACAAATTCTGCCGCCCTTGCAGTAGACGTCTAGTTTCTCGACAGAAAAGAAGACATGACAGCTTCCAGCTTGCACCAATCGCGTCAGCTAGGACCAATCAGATATGTCCTTGCTCGTAGCTTCTCCTTGTAACGTCGGTGATGCAATAATGTAAGCCGACCATATTATGAGACAACTTCTACAAACTAGGATGTAGCCTAGGTCGATGCTGTTGGTCAGCTTTGAGGAATTATGGGGCATCTTGCGTTCAATGCGTTCTCACTGACGTCTGCGCTCTATAGTGGCATCTTTCTTAGAGCATCATGCTCATATGATATCTAAACCGCAAATCTCTTAACCGCCCTTGCGTAATCTAGTAATGGAGACCAATCCTATGTCAGTCAATGAAGCTGGTCTTCAATCACGGTAGATGATGAACCCTGCAGGCGCACAAGCGCTGCTTGTGAGAAAGCTCTTCCGGGTGTGGCATATGCAGATGCAATGACGAAGTATCTGGCTATTGAACGAATCACCGACTTCAATAACCCACAGCCAACTGTGTCAATGGCAACACTGAGTCGCAAAACTTCCGTTTACATTTACGAAGATCTTACATTGTCGATATTGGGCAGATTCTTCTAAGATACCTTTGCTTGCATCCACTAAACCCTGCCCGCATGCAGCCCTCCGGTGATCAGAACATCAGTGGCGGTCGTGTATGCACTCGCACCGCTCAGCAAGTAAACCAGCGCGCCCTTCAAGTCTGCCCTGTCACCCATCCTCTTCATGGGCGGCTCCGTCTGGAAGATGTGAAACAGCTCAGGTCGCGAATCCGCTATTGAGAGCGTCATGTCTGTTGCTGTGTAGCTATATCTGGCCTCAGCAGGGATCGACTACAACCACCGTTTATGTGAGTAACGTACCCTGGAGAGATGCTGTTCACTCGGATATTCATTGGCGCAAGCTCAACTCCCAATCCCTTTGCCAACGCAACGACGGCTCCTTTACTTGCGCAGTAGTCGCTCAAGAATTGGGCTTTGCTGGCCATGTACGCACAAATAGACCCAATCATGACCACCGAACCGCCACGAGGTGAATGCTGACCTTGATCCTGCTTCTCGATCTGTTTCGTGAACAGCTGAGCGGTAAAGTATGTTCCCAGAACGTTGATGTCGAGGCACTTTCGCACAGAGGCCGGGTCGCGTTTCGTGAAGGGCTGGTCAGGGCAGATGCCGGCCGCGGTTACGCTTTGTTTGCGTCAGAAAGCCCGTTTTGCAGCATCCTCTCCAGAATTTTACCTACAGGCCATCTACTCGACCAAAGTCTTTAACGATGTTGTTGAAGGTCTCTTCCAGAAGTTCGTAACTGGTCACGTCGGTTCTATGAATTCTGTCAGAACTCTGTGTCGTGCAGTCCGGAATACGAGGTACTTGACTGGTAAAGCTTGACTTTCACGCCGTAATCATTCTGTAATCTGGTGAAGTCGTTGTGTGGTGTGCTGCTCACATCCAAGACTGCCACGTGACTTCCCATCTCAGCACACGCGACTGCGAATGCGAGACCGATTCCTCGCGCGCCGCCTGTGATAACAGTGACTCGATCCTTCAAGGAGAATAGATCTATCACCGACCGCTTCAGGTACTGGTCGCACTCACGATCAGGGGCTGAGGGATTGCAACTCATAGTGACGTTGGTCTGGGATTTGGTGGTTTGCTACTGTGCTAAATAGAGCTTGCAAGATGTTGACAATGGATAATTATTATGCGGGTTTTCTGAGGACCAAAAGGTAGACTTTATTGTAATGGCTCGTCTATTTGTCATCGCTAATCACTCAGGGCAAATTCACGTATCGTGGGGAGCATTTGTAGAGGTCGGTAACGCCAACCCTGTCCGCAAGAGCTTGCATCACTGGGTATGCAACGGGCGGGGAATCGGGACTAGCTTCGGCCTCTTGGGGATCATCCCGGCAGTCCACGCGGTTGTATGGTTAGAGGGTCAGAATACCCGGCACACTGGCTTGGCACAATCAGCCATGCCACCGTTAGCGACGCGAAATCAAGACGCGCACGCGGCTGCAGTCAGTTGAAAGAAGATTTTCAACCAAGAAGTCTGACTTGATCTAGCTATTTCGAAGTAACAACGCATTTGATGAGGTTTGCCGGTCTGGACAGCGAGAACTCCAGCGCATCTACTACCTTCTCCACGTCAAACGTGTGCGTGATCATAGGCTTGACATCCACTATGCCGGCAGCGATCAAATCAATCGCCGGCTGGAACGTGTTTGTGTACCTCCAGATGGGCAGAATCTCAATCTCCCTGACTAGCGCCAAGCCCAGATTCAGCTCCTGTCGCGGCGCACCCATCCCCACGACCACAATCTTCGCCCCCGCACCCACGGACCCGATGCAGATGTTCAAGCACGACTCGATGCCCGTGCACTCGAGCGCCAGATCGGCTTCTCCGGCGTGCTCGTTGCGCACGTTGTCCGTCATGCGCGCAATGAAGTCGCCGGCCGACTCGCCCTCCTGCGTGTTGAAAGGAATCTGCACGGTTGCGTTGGCAAGCCCGTGCTCCCTTGCGAATCGTAGCCTGTCGGCGTCGACGTCGACCATGGTGACGGACACGGCCCCGGATATCCTGGCCATGCGCGCGCACAGCAAGCCCACGGCGCCCGCTCCCGTGATCAAGACCGTCTGGCCGGCGTCGAGGCGGCCCTTGCGGACCGAGTGCAGCGCCACGGACAAGGGCTCAACGAGTGCACCTTCATTGAAGCTCAGCTTGTCTGGCAGATGGTAGACCAGAGAAGCCGGGTGGTTCAGCGCTCGCTGCAGCGAGCCCTGAACGGGAGGGTCTGCGCTTGCCGAGCCGTTGAATCGCATCGATTTGCACAGGTTGTAGCGTCCTGAGCGGCACTTCTGGCACTCCTGGCAGGCCAGCTGGGGCTCGAGAACAACGCGGTCGCCAATCTTGAAGTCGGTTACGCCGGAGCCGACGGCGACGATCTCCCCAGAGGCTTCATGTCCAAGCACAAGGGGCTCCTTCACTGTGTAGATGCCATTGCGACCGTTCTGGTAGTAATGAAGATCCGTTCCACAAAGGCCAGTTGCGCGAGGTGCGATGGACACTTCGTGTGGCTGGAGGGTTGGTGTCTCTATTTGTTCAAATGCGAGCGCCTTGGCACCGCGCAGCACGGCTGCACGGTGTGTCGAAGGCTGAGCTTGTGCCATTGTGGTAACGCTGAGGGTTTAGGGGTCTTTTTGATCGAAAATAGCAATGATTGCTGTCCTTCGTCGTTGACAAGCATCCCAGACGATTGACTCTTTCTTTATACCGGCCATCCGGACTTTTGATCGATTAGACCCAAGTTCCATACGTAGCCCCATGTGGTCAATTAGTCGTTCAGCCGCTTCAATGTTGCTAAGTTGTGCATGCAACTTCGCTTATGCCGTCTTCATCTGCGGTGTTTCACTCCGGTTATCCGGCTATAGAATCGGCCAGGGAGAAAGCGACGCACACGTTCAGTGGCATTAATGTAGCGCGTCTTGGTAGCGTGTCTTTCTTCTCTACGTGAGACAAGATTCAATCGTTCTCGCCGATCGTCTGAAAGCCCCGAGTGTGTATGCCTTTGATCAAGCGTTCAGAAGGGACCACGTTCGCCGACGCAATGATTCCACTGAAGATATATACGTCTGTCGTTCACATGCATCGATCCGACCACAGAACATCTGTCACAATTCGAGAGAGAGAGATGACTTGTGCGATGATGAGATTAGGGATTGCGATTAAGGATTGAGAACTATTCAATGCTCTGCAGCTATCTAGACTGTGGCAATGTGTTCATCAGGTACGCTCCAGAGGACCGCGAGCTCTGTACGGCAAGCGCCGCCGTCACCGTGATGCCAACAGTCCACATACTAAGCTTCGTCCATGGTGCCCACGGCAAGGCCTTGTTGCCTCCACTTAGCTCAAAGTCCTTCCACACAGGCCAATACAAATCCCACCAGAACTGAGCTGTTGGTCCGTGATAGTTGGTAGTGTTGCGGCCGTGCGCGTCGAGGTTCCAGTTGGCGCAGCCCTCATTCCACACCATGTTCTTGAGACCAGCTTGCACCTGATTGACGTTGCTATCTTCAGCTGCCTGCTTGACGTTGAGAACCTCGAAGTTGCCGCGCAGTACGGGGTTGATGAGGGTCTTGAGAATGAATTCGACCTGTGTCTCGTTGCTGAAGATGACGGAATTGTGCGCTGGAAACGAATTGGGGCCAAAGACAATGCCAAAGTTGGGAAAGCCATGGACGAAAGTGGCTTTGTAGGCTTGGGCGCCGCGTGTATCTTTCCAGTGCTCGTTGAGAGACTGACCGTTTGCGCCCACGATCTTGATCGGCGAGAGAAATTCCTGGATCTTGAACCCGGTGGATAGCACCACGGCGTCAAAATCCATGGTCCGCTTGGAGGTTCGGAGGCCAGTTTCGGTGAAGCTGACAATGCGTTCGGTAGTCAATTCCACGTTCGGCTTGTGAAGGCACTCGAGATAACCGGGGTCGAAAACGCGACGCTTGCAACCCAGAGGGAACTTGGGCATCAACATATCGAGATAGGCTTTTGGCGCGATGCTTGTCATGTACTCTTCAGCTTCTCTCTGCGCAACTGCGCGTTGTTTTTCGAGCGACTCGGAGCCGGTAATGTAAAGGCTGTGGAGTACGTCTGTAGATCGCCAGAGATAGAAGCGGTAGAGCTTGTTCCAGAATGGAATGTAGCGGAAGCACCATTTCTGGAAGCTCGAAAAGGATGGATTAGGGCGTTCGTTGATCCACTGAGGCGAGCGTTGGAACTGGACCACTTTGGAGGCCTTTTCAGCCACAAAAGGCATCAGCTGTGCCCCGGAGCATCCATTACCGACCACGGCGATCTTCTTGCCCTGCATGTCGAACTTGTGGTTCCACCGTGCAGAGTGGAAAATAGCTCCTTTGTAAGACTCGCTGCTAGGAATGTCACACTCCTTAGGGATGGATATGGTTCCCACGCAGGAGACGAGCATCTCTGCCTCTCGGCGGAATGCATGGCCCGTAATCGTGTCGCGAAGGTTCACGCTCCAGACCTTGTTTGCCACGTCCCATTCTGCTGCTACGACTTCCGTGCGAAGCTGCACGTGAGGTCGCACGCCAAACTTGTCGACTGTACTGTGCATGTATTGCAGGATTTCGGCTTGGTCGGCAAAACGTCGTGACCAGTCGGGGTTGGGATTGAACGAGAACGAGTAGAGATGAGAGTCGACATCGCAGCCGACGCCTGGGTATGTGTTGAGGTACCAAGTGCCGCCGATGCTAGGCTCGCGCTCGTAGATGGTGAAGTTTTGGTAGCCGTACTGGCTACGAAGTCGGCAGGCCAAAGCAATTCCGGCAACGCCGCTGCCAATGATGATAAGGCGCGGTTCTGAAGTTCGTGCCATTCTGTGTTGAGAGGGGGTGGAAGATAGGAGATGTTGGAAGGAACCCAGACGTTTATGGGCGTTGTGAGAAGTTCTCCCATTCGGTGCGAAACATCGACCCGGTGCGTTCGAAGATCCTAGCTATCAAAGTTGTGCCACCAATGGACCACCATACGGTTCGCAAGTCTTGGCATGTAGGCCGGCTATATGGAGATCCGCGAGAGTCGTGGCTCGATCTCTTCAGGAGTTCAAGAAAGCGGCTACACTGGTCCTGAAGTTGATGTGCCGAAGCATGGTCTAACGTTCGGGTCGGAGCGAACTTCCGAATTGCGGGGTGTGAACACAGGGATATCCAGTTCGGTAGGGCTACCCCGCCGCTCTCGGTGTTTACCTGGGCATTGCGTGTACCTCTACACCATATAGCCGCGTCTTCGATACCCTCAGTAGCTTCGTCTACCATTGCCAAGACACATTTAGTGCGCCCCTACTATATATCACACGACACTGCTAGGTACGTGGCGTACATGTGTGTATGCAGCCAATGACTCGCACTGCCTAGGCCATGACCAGCTCGTTCGACAGGTGTATGTGCTGCTTTCGCGATTGCTGCGCATCAGCCGGTCTACGAAGTCAAACCAACGGCGCCACTGTTCAGAGTTAATAGGCTGCATCCGAAGCCTATGTACACGCTAAACCTGGTCTTTGGGGGGGGTGGTGTTATGGCATATAACTTAACAACAGCTCGTGTCAACGACACGTTCGTATGCTTGTAGTGTGTTTGTCACAGGCTTAATCAAGATCGGAAGGCGTATCTTGTACATGGAGAGCACGATTACCATTGCATTACATATATCAATCACACACTTGCCTCACTGCCAAGTCCAATCGCGCACAGCGCTACGTGGTGATGGAGTTCTGCTGCGATCTGAAGAGGAGACGTTATAGCCCCACCGTATCGCCTTAGCCCGATCCTTGGTCAAAAGTGGGAGCCATGTGGATGAATGATGAAGCGTCTAAAGAAATGTCGAAGAAATTGCCCTGGACAGCCCATCCTCCGTAGCTTGGGATAGAGTAGCCGTCCAGATCGAAAGCAGCGAAGTCGTTGGGAGCCATGTCGGCTTCGGCGCTGATACTGCCGACGTCTTCTCCCGCTGCTGGACGGTGTGTGACCAAGCACAGGCTAAGGGCCTTGTCGAATAGTTGCGAGATCCACGGGCTTGCATCCCAAGTATCACGAACAGCATGTAGAGCCATCTTACAATTGGTCAGGCCAGACATGCCGGATCGGGCAACCATTGGGTCGCGGCTATTGGTCTGCATGTAGAACACCACGGCTGCGACAAATAGGCCGTGGAAAAGCTCATGCGGAGGGAGAAGACCATCGGGGGTAATGACGACATCGCAGGAAGCGGAAGCAATCTGCTGGGCAGCATCGCTCATGACCTCTTCTCGTATCGACCTTGGCGAACAGGGTCCGTCCAAGACGCCGGGGTCTGGGTCCATGGAGCCATTGACGTGTGCTAATATCACGTTGTGGTTGTACAAGATGCGTAGAGTGGACACGAAGACGTTGAGTGGGCTCTTGATGCGATCGGGCCATGCCATTTCTGCGGGCAGCTCGTTGCGCCAGGCCGTCATCATTTCTTGCAACAAGGACGAAGCCGAAGTGTTTTGGTGTTGTGGGTGGAAGCGGGCGGCGATGATGTGGCGGAGAATGAGTGACAGCTTGGTTGCGTGGATCTGGTAGAGACCGGAGAGCTGTACTAGCGGGCTCGTCATGCATTCGAAGTACAGGCTCTGGTCGTAGCAAAAGTCGTCTTCGGTCAAGGGGTCGGCATCGCAGTGGTCGAGGTTTACCCTGAATGGGCGTCCGACTAGCGAGGCGCAAGTGGCATCTCGTATGACGAGAATCCACCACAAGCGCTTGATCAGACTTCTGTCTTGTGGCTCGATGGTCGCTCTAGCCATGGACCTATGGAACCCTAGTGTTTCGGCAATGGTGACGCCTGTGCAGATCCAGGTGTAGAAGTTCCAGTAATTGCTGGGGCCGCCACCCCAGAAGCTCATGATGATGGAGACCTGAACGGCTACAATCTTATTCCCTTCGTAGCCAATGTCGAAGAGGGCTTTTGCCTTTTCGTAGAACAGGGATCGGGCTTCGGCGCGGGCATTGAAGCCTGCACGGCGAAGTAGGCGCATGGGGCAGTAGGTGGCGGAGATGAAGCAGAGGGCGTGGAGCAACATCCAGGGAATGCGTCGCGACTTGTGCTGGAGCAGGACTTCGTAGGGGTTCACAATAGGGTATAGAGGAAAGACGCGCTCGAAGAAGATGTTGATGAGGGCATCCACCGTCTCGTCCGAGGGCGCTGTGAAGACGTGCTTTGATTCGAGGAAGGCGAGTTCCTCTGCGCGCATGCCAGGCGGATGGGAAAGACGGGCGTGGTCAGCGGCAGCATCTTGGTCTGCGCAGGGAGGACCGGGATGGTGGAGCAGCGGGCGATTGGCACCGCCTTGAAGATCCTTGAGGACGATGCCAAGGGGAAAGGCCTCGCCTATGTAGGTGATGGAGTGCTTGTTGAGAGTGTCTCCTCCGTTGTGGTAGCGCTCGAGTAGATGGTCAAAGGTGGTCGCCCAGCTGATATCGCGGTACGAGGACAAGGAGGCGTTGCTCGTGCTCTCCACGCTGGAGGGGTCCTTGGGTGCAGGCGGTGGGTGGGGAGGCGTCGCGGTGGGCTGAGTGGCAGCCGCGTCGGCGGCAGCGGCAGCATCAGCATCATCGGCGGCGACAACGACGGCATCTGCTGTGGTTACGTCTCGTTGGATCGTAGTAGATGAGTCGGCAGGCAAGTTGGCGGCGGGCGGGTTGGCGGCGGCGGCGGCGGCGGGGAGTTGCTGGGGCGGTCGGCGTTGCTTGCGGGCGTAGATGCCCCTCCGCGACTGCATCAGTGTGCACTCGGGCTCTCGTCGCTGCTCGCAGCGGGTACAAGGGGTGCCTCGCTCGCTGGCATCGCATTTGACGCGCTTCTGGTGGCAGGTATGACAGGCTTTGGCAGCACGAAAGCGGATGGGGGCGCGTGCATGTGCGTGGACGTGCGCGTGGGCGTGCGCATGGGCGTGAGCGTGAGCGTGAGCCTGTTCGTGCACGGGCGACTGGGTCATGTTTCAAGCGTCGTCGTGAGTGTGAGAGTAGGGTCGCTAGCAGCAGAGAGACACAAGAGTCGCGCGTCGCGCGGGATGTCAACTCGACTAGTCTAGGTAGACGACTAGGCAATAGGTAGTCATGGTAGTATGGTATGCATTCGCACCTAACCCTACTCCAGGTAGTGCCAGAGACTACCGCAACAGCTGCCACCGCCGGCGTGGCCCTGACGTCTTTGCGCCTGCGACTAGCGCCCTGACCTTGCGCACCACCCCCTCGGTGTCAATGCCAAACCGACGCATGTTCTCCCGTCCCGCTCCCGAGTATCCATACGAATCCATGGCCACCGAAGCCGAGCAGAAGCGCGCCCACATGCTCGACACATACGCCTCAACCGATACAACGTGTTTGCTCTCCGACAGCACCGAGTCCTGGTACGCTTCGGGCTGCTCCTCGAACAGCCGGATGCACGGCATGCTGACCACGCGCGTGCGGATCCCCCCCGCGTTCAGCTCCTTGCTCGCCGCAACGGCAAACTCTAGCTCGGAACCACACGACACAAGCGTCACTTCTGCCTCGCCTGTTTCTTCCACCACATAGCCGCCACGCAGAACCCGGTGTCGGTCCGTGCCAGAGATCAGCGAGAGCCCTGGGTCTCGAGCCAGCGAGATGATGCTGGGCGCATGCTCCACCACAATCGCCGCCATCCACGCCCCGATGACCTCTTCACTGTCGGCTGGTCGAATGTATTGCAGCTTGGGCATCGCTCGGAAGAGCGAGTCCAGCTCCACCGGCTGATGCGTAGGTCCGTTTTGGCCCTCGCCAATCGAGTCGTGCGTCGCAATGTGGATCACCTTGAGGTCGCTCAATGCCCCCATCCGCACGCCCGCTGCAGCGTACAGATAGAACATGAAGAACGTTGCCGTCACAGGCAGGAAGCACCCCGGCGAGTACGCAGCGAGCCCGTTGGAGATGGACGCCATGGCATGCTCTCGAATACCATAACGCACCACACGTCCCTCCGGATGCGCTCCATCGAAGATGCGCTCCGACTGATCCCCCATTTGGTTCGAGTTCCACAAGTCTGCGCCGCCCGCGAATAGATTGGGTATCGACTCCATGAGTTTACCAAACACCACCCCGTTGAATTGTCGCGTCGCAGTCGCCGTCCTCGGAATTTCAAGAGACCCCAAAATCGCTTCCACGTCGATCTTGCCCTCGATACGTTGCTGCAGCTGCGCCGCCAATTCCGGGTACGCGGCCGTATACCGGTCAAGCTTTTGTTTCCACTCTTCTTCCTTTCGTCGGCCCTGCTCGCCCGCCTGTTGCCAATACCTTCGAGTAGCCTCGGATAGTGTATGGCTTGTCTCGACTCCAGCTGTAGCGTACTTGGCAGCGTCTTCGTCGCTATAGGTCCCGTGGTGCGACTTGAAAGTTCCCGCTGTCGAGGTACCGTGGCCAATGGTTGTGCGAATGTTGATGAATGTCGGCTTGCCTTTGTATTCTTTCGCATCAGCCAGAGCTTGGACAATGCTACCAACCGAAGAATCGCCATCCATAACATCGATGACGTTCCAGCCCATACTCGCTACTTTTGCATTGGTATCTTCAGATACAATCCAGTCTAGCGGCCCGTCGCACGTCACTTGGTTGTTGTCGTAAAGCAGGACCAGGTTATCTAGCCTCAAATGGCCAGCGATAGCGATAGCCTCGTTGGCAACACCCTCTTGGAGGCATCCGTCTCCTGTTACACAGTAGATACGAGAGGAGATGAGCTCCACGTCGGGTTTGTTGAAGGATGCAGCCAGGTTCTTGGACGCAATGGCAAGCCCCACTGCGTTTGCGACGCCCTGTCCAAGTGGACCTGTCGTGACTTCGACTCCTGGCACCTCGATTTCTGGATGACCATGGCAAATGGTGGCAAGCCATTTTCCAGTCTCCGGATCAACAGTCTTTGCACTGCCATAGAGCTTCAGCTCATCAGCAACGACGTGTGGGTAGCCAGACACGTGAAGCATCGTGTACAGCAGCATAGCTGCATGACCGTTGGACAAGACGAAACGATCTCGGTCGAACCACTACGTCACCTCCGTCAGCGCGCGAGCTCAAGTGAAGCCTTCGAAATCGCAAATACAACGTACTTCAGAGTTCTGCGGGTTGTAGCGCATCGTGTGCTTCCAGAGAGCAACAGCTAACGGTGCCATGCCAATTGCAGAGCCACCGTGCCCTCCGCCGTTCTGACGACAGATGTCGATGACAAGTTTCCTTATTTCTCGTACGGCCTGATTGTCTGCATCCTGCCCACTAGCAAGTGACGCCGTAGTCGGCTGAGTTTCATTGTGTGAAATCATGACTGAAGGAGAGAGATGAAGCTCTTACGGCTTGGATTGCGAACCACGCACGCACTTATCTTTATCTGAATGAACATGGACAGCATTACCTCTAGGGCTGAGACCATGTGTTCATCGGGGCCGGGATCCTGGCCTCGGTTGTGGTGGCGGAGCCAAGACTCAGCAGGATAGCCATATAGCCGGCCGGCGGAAGTGTCAGATTCGCACTAATCTCACAACCGTCTTCTGTCGTTGTTACGACAGAAAGCATACACAGCGGGCATCTGATGCGGCCCTACTTACACAAAGACAAGAGCGGCCGAGAGATGGGTTCTGTGCCGAAGACCATATAAGCGTCATGCGGGGGGCAATACCACGCCGGAGAAGAAATGCTCTTCACGCTAAGCTTTGTTCTCCGTCTGCGTTTGCTCTTGCATTAAGAGCCTCGACATTTTGTAGCCACCTTCAGGCATCGATCCATCCACGTAATACCAATTGAATCAAACATGGTCAGCGCCGTTCAGTCCACAACCTTGCGAGCAGCCTTGTCAAACAAGGCTCTCGTCATCGAATCAGGGTTAATTGGTGGCACAAGGACTTCTGGAGACAAGAAATTCCCAGTGTACAATCCGGCCACCGACAAGGTCATCGCAGAAGTCGATGATCACGGCGTTGGTCACTTCAAAGAAGCAATCGATCACGCCCGCGAATGCTTTCAAGAGTTCCGGAGAACCACTGAGCACGAGAGGTCAAGACTACTACATCGATTCGCCGCTCTCGTTCGACAGAATGCAGACGATCTCGCAATACTGTTGACCTCGGAAAACGGAAAGACGCTGGCAGAAGCAAAGGGAGAAGTCGAGTATGGTGCCAGCTTCCTCTCCTGGTTTGCTGAGGAAGCCATTCGCTCGTACGGCGACATTGTTCCCTCGATGAACGCCGGGAACACAAACTTCATTGTCCGGCAACCCATTGGCGTGTGTGCCATTATTGCGCCCTGGAATTTTCCCATCGCCATGATCACTCGAAAGCTTGGCCCGGCGTTGGCTGCAGGCTGCACAGTCGTTATTAAGCCGCCCAGCGAGACGCCCTTGTGCACACTTGCACTTACTCACCTCGCGCAGGAGGCAGGACTGCCAGCGAATGCAATTCAAGTCGTGCCTAGTCGCGACCGCGCAGCTGTCGCGGAGCTATACACAAACCCTATCATCAAGAAGGTCAGCTTCACTGGCTCGACTAAGGTCGGCAAGTTGATCACTGAGAAGGCTGCTGGGACAATGAAGAAGGTGTCTATGGAGCTTGGCGGCAACGCACCCTTCATTGTCTTCGACGATGCCGATATTGCGAAAGCTATCGAGGGCGTTGTTGCTTGCAAATTTCGGTGCTCGGGACAAACATGCGTCTGCGCGAATCGTCTCTTCGTACAGCGCGGTGTTCACGATCAGTTCGTCAACGCACTCATCGAGCGTGCTCAGCAATTCAAAGTTGGGTCCGGCATGGACCCTACTGTAACACACGGTCCTTTGGTTAACGAAGCGGCTGTAGTCAAGGTCAAGAGCCACATCGACGACGCCGTAGCCAAGGGCGCCAAGTTGCTCCACGGAGGAAAGGTTCGTCGGGACCTGGGCAAATGCTACATTGAGCCCGCCATCATGACAGACGTCACTTCAGACATGCTGGTAGCTCGTGAGGAAACATTCGGTCCATTGGCACCGATATTCGTCTTCGACACGGCCGACGAAGTCATTCAAATGGCAAACGACACCGAGTTCGGACTCGCTGGGTACTTCTTCTCGGCGAACCTCAACACCATCTGGCAGGTAGCGCAGGAGCTCGAGGTCGGCATGGTCGGTGTCAACACAGGAAAGATTAGTGCACCAGAGGCACCGTTTGGCGGCATCAAGGAGTCGGGTATGGGGAAGGAAGGCAGTAAGTATGGCCTGGCCGAGTTTCAGATCCTCAAGAATATCACCATCTCTATGTAGAACAGGGTCAATTAACTGTTATTGTTAGTTTACACGCAAAACAAAGACTATAATTTGCAGAACAACGATTGTAACTTGCTGTCTAAGATCCGCAAGACGTAACCTTACGCAGGACAGATGGTGGAGTCAATCTAATATGAGAAACATTCCCTCAAAACTGTACAATCTGGATACAGATCTCTATCGACATTTAGAGCAGCGCCCCAGTGCTAGTCTTTGCCTTTTCAACATGTGCACCAAAAAGCAGGCAACCGGGCTGTGTCACGAAACAAGTGGGAGAATGCTAGAAGTCTGCACCCGAGTAGACCGTGCAAAGGGATGGGAAGGGTCGCTCTGGAAGCGCCCGAAGTGTTAACGACACCACCCGCGCGTGACACTAAAATCATCCTGAGTCACGTCGGCGATCGATTCTCGGCTCATGCTTTCGTCACGAGTCGAGAGTAGCCGGGAGGATCGCCACATGGTGACGTTTTTGGTCATTTGTCTGACTTTCTTAGTCTTTGCTCTAGAGCGCCGGCTACGCTCTCGGTTCAGTATTCTGAGGCGGCTCCAGGCTTTTCTGCGCTGCTTGCGGTAATGATGGAGGCGAGACTCGGGACCACAAGAAAACTCTAGAATGGGATCTTCAGCAGACTATAATTGGGAGCATGCGATGAGTGGGGAACGGGGCTAGCAGAGTCGATCGTATGCAGCGTTGCCGCGTTTGAGTTCTGCACAGAGAGAAAGACTGAGAGCATGTAAGTTTTTCGCAGAGGTCGATGTGATACGTACCTCATGAAGGTGGACTCTGAGCAAGTGGCACAACTAGGAGCCGCATAATCAGAACAGAATCACACCAAGTTTCGGCGACTACATGGGCACGAAAGTGCGTTTGTTTGTTCGCCGACTCTGTGATGTTCGGCTTCTTCACGTTTCACGCTGCACCCCGGACTCTATCCCCAGCTTCAGCCCCCCCCCACCGCCACGACATTGGATTGGGGCAACCCCATGTTTTTCAGCTGCCAAGTTCGGCATTTCCCCAGACTGCGGGGTTACTAGCACGTCGTTCTTTTCGGACGTTCCGTTAGCACTAGTTTCGTGACTCGCAAATGGTCTATATTACGAGCTCATCTGTTACACATCCAGACCGCAATCAGCTCACTCAAGCACTTCATCATCCACTTGCTTCACCATGGGCAAATTTTTCAAGAAGAATGCGCTCAAGAACAGCGATAGCGCTAGGACTCGGGCTGCAGAGTTGACGCTGCGCCAATCGCTGCTTCCCCTGTGTCTCGTCACTGTTCTGTTCTTCCTATGGGTAAGCTTCCAACGATGCCGCGCTGAGTGCGTTCTATGCATGACTAACGTATGACAGGGCTTCTCCTATGGTCTCATCGATACTCTCAACAAGCATTTCCAGGAGACGCTCGGCATCACCAAATCTCGTTCCTCTGGACTCCAGGCTGCCTACTTTGGCGCCTATCCTTTTGCTGCGCTTGGCCACGCCAACTGGCTCTTGCGCCATTACGGCTACAAGGCCGTCTTTATCTGGGGTCTAGTTCTGTTTGGCATTGGCTCCCTGGTCGCATGGCCATGCATTGTGTACCGTTCTTTCGGAGGCTTCTGCGCCGCAATCTTCGTCATCGGTAACGGACTTGGATCTCTCGAAACTGCTGCGAACCCCTATCTCACAGTCTGCGGGCCTCCAAAGTACGCAGAAATTAGGATCAACCTCGCCCAGGCTTTCAATGGTGTTGGTACCGTCGTAGCTCCTGTCTTGGGATCATACGTCTTTTTCAAGGACACCGGCGACAGTGCTGAGTCTTTGAGGAACGTGCAGTGGACCTACCTCGCCACTGCTGTTTTCGTCTTCCTTCTGGCCATTGTGTTTTACTTCGCCCCCATTCCTGAAGTGACTGATGCCGACATGGCATTCCAGGCTGAGGAGACTCGTGCTGGCACTGACGACAAGCCTTTCAGAAGACAATACCGTTTGTTCCATGCCACCTTTGCCCAGTTCTGCTATGTCGGAGGTCAGGTGGCCATCGCCGGTGCATTCATCAACTATGTCACTGAAGTCAAGGGAACCAGCTCTGCCACGGGTGCACGCTACCTCGCCGGTGCGCAAGGCACTTTTGCACTGGGTCGGTTCGCTGGTTCAGCCATGATGAAATTCATGAAGCCGCGTTGGATTTTCCTAGTCTACATGACTCTGAGTGTCATATTCCTTGTTCCCACCATCACAGAACGCGGCAACCCAGGCCTAATTGTGCTTTACCTGGTGTTTTTTTTTGAATCCATCATCTTCCCTACCATCGTCGCTCTCGGTATGCGCGGTCTAGGCCGCCATTCCAAGCGCGGATCCGGGTTTATCGTCGGAGGTGTCTGTGGCGGCGCAGTCGTTCCCCCCCTACTGTTTGTTGCTTCTGACTCTCAGAATCACAAGTCTTCCGCCCCTACCGCCGTTGCTATGGCAGTGCCTCTGGCATTCTACATCGCAGCCTGGTCCTACACTCTATGTGTCAACTTTGTGCCGGCGTACAGAAATGTCGCCGACAGCTTCAGCGAGACCAATATTGGGCTGGACCCTCACCGTGCTGCTGACGAAGAGACTCAGAGCAAAAATAACGATGTTTTTCGCAACGCACCTAAAGATGTTCCTGTGCATGCAGAGAAGGCTATTCTTTAAGAGAACTAGCAAGTACAATCAATGCACCCTACGGGCGAAAGAATCAATAGGCAGGACAAGATCCTACTGGAAGGCACCCTATTATAGTCTACAACAGCCTCCTTCGGCGCTGTATAGCATAAAACCACCTGGAGTTGTATTTGGAGGCTACCTATACCTCTTGCATACATATTTGTGTATTATATCTAGTCTCGCTATACTATCTACAGTGATTATCAGATAGCTTATCTGATCAATAGCGCTGGCCACGCCACTTTGCTTGTCTTTGTGAAGCCAGGAGCGCCTTCCAAGCACGCTAATAGAGCCTACTTCCACGAAACACTCACGATTAAGGGCCCGACTCGTGTTATTCCCACTGTTCGGCCTGCTCTCGTTTCTACTTTGGCCTAAGCCCGGTTTCTACCCCCTTTACCCCCCGTTTAAGCTTACTTAAATACCGTAGCGGAACTGATGGATGTGCTTAAGAACTACCCCTGCAGCGGCAATGCTGCCTTCTGACTGTCTTCGCATGCATCTGCGAGCCTTTGGGCGGGTAGCTATACCTGTACTAGACCGCCTGCTCTGCCAGGTCTGGAAAACCTGTTCCTACCAGTCCCCGATGGGACCGTCTATACAACTGATCCAGCGAAGAGCCCGCCTCTTAAAAGCGCGCCCCCGTCTTGCTCTTGGACTATTTATATCAAGAATTCAGTAGAGAAACAGGAAGAAGTGTGGCCTCGCTAAAATAGAGCCTGTCCCACTTATCGCCATTGCTAACAATTTATAGCCAACTAGGCAAGAGCTCCCAAGCATTATCTCTCATCTCACGCAGTTCGAGCACTTTATGTGAAGCCCATGCATAAGCATCGTGTCGTGTAAGACTCTCTATCATCATTTCCGCTATTATCACAATGTCCGTCACGCGTTTTGCGAGGCCGCCGTCTCTAAATACAAGAACGTGTCTGCGTCCCAAACCAACGCAGATGTCACATCTCTCCCAGCTGGGACAGCTCCATTGAAGTGCCTGCCGTTACCAGAGTCGGGATACCTCTGCCCACACTGTAATTACAAAACTGTCAATTGGGACTCGCTCCTGCACCACTTCCGAAAGACACAGTGTGACGGATAGCTTAGGACCCGCAACAATCTTTCATGCTTCCTTGAAAGGTGGGTATCCATTCGATCTAACGTTGGGAGAGCGTGGCCCGGGGCTACCACCATACCTTTCACGCAGCGTGAGGGGGATGTTGCGCTCAGTCACGACCAGTCCGTTGTCGATGGTCCTGCCACCATCGCTCTTCTGCAGACGGAGGCTGAGGAGGAAACTAGATTCCTGCAAGGGAAGCAAGAATCCATGACTCTAAGCAGCGAACTCGAGCATGACAAGAAGACTAACTGGCTGCATAGCTATAGCTGACCGCGCTAGTCTGCCTACAAACTGCTCCATCTGATTGTTGCAACTGCGCGGCTGCCGCCTCCACTAGTTAAGGCGTTCGCCTTAGTGCGTAGAATTGCATCAAATAGATCCACGGCACTTCTGCTGAGACAAGACTTTTAGAGGCTACTAGGGGTGCTCACTCTCATGCTAGATTAATGCGAGGAGATGTTTCAACAGAAGCTGCAGGTTCTACGCTGCTGTATGCAGAGCTAGGGCTTACATTTCTACGCTTGTCTATTAGAATAGCCGCAGCAGCAGGCTACACAAGCTAGATACTAATCCTACTACAACCGCTTTTTGTGCTATGTACTTTGAGCTTGGCAAGTCTGCAAGGCCCTTAGCCAGAGCCTAGGCGAAATATACGGTCTCAGACTGTCCGAGATTCAGGTGCAAACGATGAAATCCATTTGGGCGGGCCTTACCGTTGGGGGTCCTGACAGCTTGACGCCATCTTCTTCAACCTGTATATCAGCGACTGCTTATGATGTTTGGACAGATTTGACAACCGACGGCCTGTTTGAGGGCGAAGCCATTATCCGCTTCTCCGGAGTGCTGGTCATTTACCGTTGCGAGCTAGCATATCTGACAGCACATAACTGCACTCTGTACCTAGCTGCACTTATATAAATCAGTAGGCTCATTATCCTTAAGTACGCACTGACGAGTTTTACAAGCAAGTATTCAGGTCATTCTTTAAGCAAAGCTCGTAAGCACGATTCGATTGGGTGGAGGTATGGTCGCTATTGTCGGTATTTGAAGAGGAAGAAGGTGGAAAAGCAGAGGAGGCAAAATGAGAAGAGAGAAAAGAGGGAGGGGAAGTCGTGCTGAAGGGACAGCAGGTAGACAAGCCGGGTGTGTATGATATTGTTGCACACTACCGAGCTTTTCGAAGTTCCCTAAAGACGTTGCGTCGTCTGATTCGATGCTTCTAGATCTTTGAGATACTGAAATGCGTCTGCTTAGGCCTGTTCCCACTTCCATACCCATCCAACACCTCATTCACCTTCGCCACATCCAGTCCACTCACACTCACATACTCCAACGCCTGAAGCTCACCCTGGACAAGCCAATCGGTAACAATCTTCCAGAAGGGCACGGTAGCATCAGGATTCAAAGGCGATGCACCCATGACGTTCTTTAATTCATACTCGCTCTGTTTCGGCAGAACCAGGTGTTCCTGCACACTTCCCTGCAGGGACAACAAGCGCGCCAACTTGCCCGTCCTGGAATTGGACAAAGCATTGATGGCGAGATGCTGTTCGCCAGGTAGGCTCACAGCGTCAAAAGCAAGGGTGAGATCGTCGTCGACGATGTCGCGGACACGCTTCGTCACGACTTCGTGGCCGCCATGGCGATCAACGACATGTGTGGCGCCGTAGGATTTCAGTTCAGCTTCGCGACCACCGACAACGACGATGCGGGTGAAGCCGGAGAGGCGGGCGAGCTGAACTGCGAAGCGGCCGCAATTGGATCCGCCACCGATGATGAGGATGGTGTCTTCGGTGGTAGTCTTGTTGGTCCAGGGGGCGGGAATGGCGAGGTTGGAGGGGGCGAAGAAGCCGATTACAACTGTGGGAGGAGTTATTAGGATGGATTCTTAACCTGAAGATGGCGGCTTGTAGATGATAGGTGTGTAAGAAAAGAGGGTACGAGGAACTCCAATCTCACCAGCAATAATGTTTGTCGGCAACGTTGCTGCTTCGTCATCACTGAATCCTTCTGGCACCTTCGCAGCGTAATCCTCATCCAGCACCGCATACTCCTGCAACCCCCTGGATTTCTTCCCACTCGCCTGTGCGAAGATACGATCCCCAACCTTGAATCGATTCGCGCTCTCGCCAAGCGCAGTTACCACGCCAACGACGTCGTTAGCCAAGAGATTCGGCAGATCGTCTCCAATGAAGAGTCCAAAGTCGCGAGCGTACTGATCGTGGGGATTCAATCCCCCGACTGTGACGCGGACCTGGACTTGCTTGGGTCCAGGGGAAGGAACAGGCCAGTTTGAGACCAAGATCATGGGCTTACCGATGTCCTTGACTACGATGGCGCTTTGAGTCGTTGGGATTTTCGCCATGTTTGTAGTACGGCGACGTAGTATAAGTGCAAAAAGCAGGAAGAGGAAGGAGACGAACGAGACTCTGGTTAAGAATGAAATTTTGAGAATCGGTTGTGGATCGAGGATATGTATGTAGATGTTGATGCCTGAGAAGTGACTAGGCCTCCCTCGCATGTATGCTCAGTTTAAATACCCAGGTTTGGATTATCGTTTAGCTAGTACTTCCTAGCCTGCATATGGCACAACTTGGCGGAGTGTATTACAAATGCACGAAAGAGATGAACAGTTGGTGGTGCAGGGGAGCCCATGAATGCACCGGTTGTCGGTCGCATTACTACTACGCCATGCAAAAAAGATTAGTATGAGTTTTGCAGTTGCACAGCGACAAGGCTTGTGTAAGACGCGACGCCGGGTGGTGTGGTGGGTGGGTTGGGTGAAAGATGAGTAATCCCGAGAATTCCATGTCGGAAGCATCCCTTCAACACCTCGTGAATCGTCTATGCGCTCAAACTGCGATACGTTGCCTTAACTCTATTCCCATGACCTCCTGGGCCTTCATTGAGCCCTGAATATCTCTGCACCTTCGCGACAGCGTAGTCTGTAATACAGTGTACTCAGCTTACAGTTTCTGTACAAGAAATCATTGCCTGATTCACACGATTTCGCTCCTGCAATCGATTACTATTCGGACACGTATTGGTGGAGTTATGGTGTGTTGAAGATGGCGTAAGTTTCGTGTTGTGATGTTCGGGCGGATCACAAATGTGTGCAGATCGCCAAACGCTTTGTTAGGGCGTGTGCCAAGGCTCAGATATGATATATGCGCGCAGTTCACGTTCCACCGTTCACTAAACACTTTCTCGGTTGGTCAGCATTCGCACACTCCCTACTCAGGTATGCCGACAGGACACACGGTACTAAATTTTAATATCTAAGTTTATTAACTAAGTTTAACGTAGGTGTACAGCGAGCGGGCCAGTACACTGAGCGGGCCACTTTTGCCAAGACCACACCAAAACACCATCACCATCTAAATGCCCCCCTACCAACCCCATTTTAACGCGTTAAAAGAGTGTCAGATCCAGCTTGCGCTTCAAGCTCTTAAACAAGACGCAAAACTCCCAGTGCAACGTGCTGCAGCTATCTACAGAGTCTCTCGAACTACACTAGACCATCAACGCGCAGGACAACCTTCACGCGTTGATACTATGGCTAACTCACGTAATCTAACCAGCGCTAAGGAGCAGGTGATTGTTATGCGCATACTTGAGCTAGTTATGCAAGGAGAGTCCCCTCAGCTTACAATTGTAGCTGATATGGCCAATTCTCTGCAAAAAGAGCGCGGTTTGGCCCCTGTTGGCCCAAGGTGGGCCAGCAGGTTTGTTTCGCGTCAGGAGGAGCTCAAAACAGTCTTTAATCGCAAGTACGACTACAAGCGAGCCCTCTGCGAGGATCCTGCGGTGATCTAGGGCTGGTTTGGCCTAGTAGCCAATATCAAAGCCAAGTATGGTATCCTGGACAATGACACGTACAACTTCGACGAGACAGGCTTCATGATGGGCCAGATATCTACTAGAGTCGTTGTCACAGATGCAGAGAAGCCAGGACGAGCAAAGCAGGTCCAGCCGGGCAACCGGGAGTGGGTAACAGTCATTGAGGGCATCAATGCCACAGGATGGGCCATTCCGCCCTACATCATCTTCAAAGCCCGCCAACACCTGTCTAACTGGTACAAGGACGACAACCTGCCCCAAGATTGGACTATTGCTATCTCTGAAAACGGCTGGACTACCAACGAGCTTGGTTTTAACTGGTTGAAGCACTTTAACAGGCATACAAAGACATGTACTGTTGGCACCTACCGTTTGCTGATTATTGATGGTTACGGGAGCCACAACTCTGCAGAATTCAAGCAATACTGCAAGGATCACAAGATTGTGACCCTATGCATGCCTGCGCACTCGTCGCATCTCCTGCAGCCCCTTAACGTGGCTTGTTTTGGCCCTCTGAAGAAGGCGTATGGGGATGAGGTTAATAAGCTTATGCGCAACCAGATCAACCACATTATAAAGCAGGAGTTCCTGCTATGCTTCAAAGCAGCTCATAAGAAAGCCATTACCCCTAGCAACATCCAGGGAGGGTTCCGAGGCGCAGGACTAGTCCCTTATGACCCAGAACGGGTCATATTAACCCTTGATATGAAGCTGCGCACTCTATCACCACCACTCCCTATAAACAACGAGCCCTAGCAGTCGCAAACCCCAAGCAATACCCTGGAACTTGGGTCACAATCGACGCTTGTGAAGACAAGGATTCAGAGGCATATAGACAGCTCTCCCACATTAATGGTTGAGGCGTTTGAGAAGGTGTCAAAGGGGGCAGCAATTATTGCGCACAAGCTGGTTTTGGCACAACAGGAAATCAGCGAGCTTTAAGCGGCTAATGAGGCTGCTACACGACAAAAATCACACAAAAGAAGGCGTATTCACGCTAAGGGAAGCCTTGCAGTTGAAGAAGGCCAGTGGTTGACTGCTTTGCAGGAGTTTAGGGCGCGTAGTGATGGTAAGAGGGTAAAGAAGCGGGTGCGCGCTGAAGGAGGTGAACCATCCCAACAATGCTGTGGACGGTGTGGAGAGGGTGGGCACAACGCGCGAACGTGCAAGAATAGAGCAGATGAGGTTCCTAAGTAATACTACAGCTTGTTTTCCCTTATACAGCGCCAATTTGTGGTATTTTGGGCCATAATGGGTTGGGTTTTGGTGTGGTCTTGGCAAAAGTGGCCCGCTCGGTGTACTGGCCCGCTCGCTGTACACCTACGTTAAGATTTTCTAGTTTACTAGTTTAAAAAAAAAGTACCTTAAATAATAGAAATTTTAGAAAAGATTCTACTATAAAGTTATAAAGAATTCAAATTAACCTATAGTAAGTCTAAGAAAGTATATTAGTTTCTTAAGTAGATAAATAGATATTTAGCTCTAAAGTTCTAAGATTTTGTTAATTTTCCTAGTAAATCTAGCGCATTGACTGAATCCGCGCATTGAGTGCACGGACACGGTAGTGTGGTCTTAACAAAAGTGAGCGACTCGCCCGTGGGGTACGTTATCTGCGAACACAGTGTTCAGGATTAGTCAGCACCAGTCACAACTGGGAGCGTCCGAAAATGAGATAAGGGAACGGCAGCGTACTAGCTCGATGTAGGCGTGCTTACTGGTTAAATAAGAGAGAGGACTGCCGCGCATACGGACTCAAAACTTGACTTTCATCATGTCAGAAAAAGGTGGAAGATCATTAAGCACTCTAAGGCGCACACTGACTGTTAACAGCTCCTGAAAACGTGAAGGGCCGTCTCAAAGATGCGTACGATGCCATAGCAGATACCTATAATTCTGTGTTCACCAAGCCTGACGACCCCGTCCGACTTCACTACCTCGACCTACTGCTTTCTCGTCTTAGGAATCGAGCTGGAAATACAGCCGCTGTACTTGAGGTCGGCTGTGGGTCTGGGGTGCCAGCTACGAAGCGCCTCCTCGACACTGAAAAGCCTGTGATACACGTCACGGGTAACGACCTATCTACATCTTAGCTGGATATCGCTCGCAAGAACTTGGCTGGCTACGAAAATTGTCTCAGTCTTCTGGAAGGAGATATGATGACCCTGTCTTTCCGTGACCAATCATTCGACGCGGTCACGGGCTTTTACAGTATCATTCATCTACCTCGTGAGGAGCAAACTCAGCTCGTCAACCAGATCGTTAGATGGCTAAAGCCTGGTGGCCTCTTTCTTGCCAACTTCGCGGCTGAGCAAAGTGAATCTACTGTTTTAGAGAACTGGTTGAATGAGGACAAAGGTTGGATGTATTGGAGTAGTTGGGGCGAAGCAGGTAGTGTCAAAATGCTCGAGGATGCGGGACTGGGGGTTTTGTTTAGAGAGACGAAGCAAGTTACGAGAGATGCGAACTTTGTTTGGTTGCTAGCCGAAAAGAAAACGTAGCATAAGCGATAAGATAGGTCTATGCACGAGTGAAAACAACTTTTCAAGATATCATGTCGTTTGCAGAATTATGTTAAGAGAGCTGAGATTACGAGAATGTTCTCCAAGAACTGAAGCGTTCGCTGTGATCATGAACGGGTTACTATACGTAAAAAGTCTGGCAGTTTCCATGTGTTCTTGTAGTCTGTACCGAAGAAACGCATCAGCATTTGTGGCACATTCAAGAAGGCCATCGACCCTGCTATGGCTTGGAAAATTCATACGCCCCGCGCAGTCTGAGGGTTCGCGAGCTGCATACCCTGGGTCCATCCTTTTTGATTTTTCTCTACCTATGGGCGGAACAGGTCTTCGTACTTCTGCAATACGTTTGGAATTTGATTATTGGATGTGATCTTGGACAGCTTGCTAGCTATGCAATATGCGCTGGTTATTGCCAAGCTTGTGCCAATATCTATGGTGGCAAAGGCCGCATCTCCTAGAGTCACGCAGTGATCTTTGGCGTATTCTGGCGTAATGACTTGGCACGAGTTCACTTTAGCTATGACAAATTGTTTAAACGTGCGTTTAACTTACCAATGTGACATGCAGAAATCTTCGATCGCATCAAGACTGTTAAGGAAGCGTGAACTCTGCCAGCCGACTTTCTGAAACCACTGGCGAAGATGTCTTTTTTGTGTAGCAGGATCTGCACAGAGATATCTTCCAGCTCTAGTATATATGACTGCCTGGAGTTGCAGATAGTTAGGTAGACGCCTATTGTTTTGTTGTTGCAATGCGGTCTGAGGTGCATGCCTAAGCCCTGCCTTTTCTTAGTACGTACTAGAGAGGTGTTATAGTGTCGCACAGTCGAGTGCGGGGTTTATAGGCATAGGATGTTAAGAAGAGTATATATATCTTGTATTATTTTAGCATCATAGCTTAGCTTATATCTAGGTCCTTGCGCAGCACAATTAGTAATATAGTTTAGGTTCACAACAGCGCTTAGCCTATAATATATAGTAATGTCCGTCCCTTAGGCTAGGAAAACCCCCTGCACAGGAAAATACGCATAGTACTCCTACTTTAAGCATAGATTGCTCTACGCAGGCAATAGGGTTTAATAAAGCAAAGATAGGGTGCATATAGGAGGTTCTTAACAGTAGATCTAATTAATTATTAGTAATTAATTATACCTACACGGCTGTTAATACGCTAGCAATAGTAAGTAGCTGCTTAAGTAGCTATATACTTTATCTTTAATATAACAGCACTATAAGACATTTATTATAGGCTAAGCGCTGTTATAAACCTAAACTATGTTACTAATTATGCTATATAAGGACCTAGATATAAGCTAAGCTATAATACTAAAATAATATAAGACATATATACTCTTCTTAACATTCTATACCTATAAACTCTATACCTAACTATATAACAATATTTATTACCTAAAGTGTAAACTAAATAGATTAATCTAGCCCTAAAAGCCTTGCTCTTGTATAAGGGCGCTATAGCAGCCTTACTATAAATCTAACCCGCAGAATCTAGTAATATTAATTTAATTTAATTAATTTAATTTAATTTAATTAGGTTCTATATAGTTATAGCTATAAAATATAGCTATACCTAGCTAGTAGGCTTAGCAGATAGCTAATGCAGTATAGATATTAATCTATACTACTCTACTTTATCCCTTAAAAGAAACTATCTATCCCTACTACCTACTATTTCCCTCTTATTACTATCTATGCATAGCTACTAACCTTATCTAGATAATAATTCTACTAACTAATTACTATACTTCTAGGCTTATAGAGGTATATGTTTCTTATATTTTATATCTATAATACCTTTAGTCTTCTTCTAGTACTTAGCTATTATCTTTATACCTATAATCTCTATTTTACCTAGAGATCTATATCTACTCTATATACTAGATAGCTTTAGTAGCTAGCTATAGTATGCTTAAGATAGCCTAGATATTATCTTATCTAGATAAGTTAGCAAAGATATAGTTCTAGAGGGTTCTATACTTACTATAGTAGAGGAGGATATAGGCAATAGTCTATTATCTTGCTCTATAGTTGCAGTATAGGCTACTAACGTCTAGTACTCTTTAGGTAAAGAGGAAGTTATTAAAGCTAATCTTCTTAGTCTATATCTATACTAGCAGCGCACTCTCTTGCTTAGTAAGCTCTTTATAGAGCTAGAGTACCTTTTTAGTAGGTATTAGTATATATCTATAGGTTGCGTAGCTCTTTATATCTATATACTACTTTGCTATCTATGCCTACTCTACTTATATCTTATACTATCTTTTTACTATTAACCTTATAGTATATAGGTAGAGAGGCGCATCTACTAGTAGGCTTCTATGCCTATATTCTCTCTATCTAGTAGCCTCCTTAGCTACTTTATTAATAGCCTTATTTCCTAAGATACCTATATAGGCTAGTATCTATTAAATAGTTACTATTTATTCTTTATTCTAAAGCTCCTAGACCTATTATATAATGTCTATAAGAATATAGGCACCTAAATATCTTTCTATCTTAGTAATAGACTAGATAGTAGCCTAGTTATCTATATATATAGCAATGTCTTATTATATACTATTTTAGCTTATATACTTTTAAGCAATCTATAGTGCTAAGCTAATACCTTATAGCTCTACTATATATACTATTAATGCTATATCTAGCTCTATATATATAGATTATACCTATTATATAAGTAGATATAGTGCTATAGAGCCTATCTTGCCTTTAATACTACTACTATCTATATAGATACTTAGGCTATTATCTTTTATATGTTCTTAGTTGTATTATATCTATGCTCTCTTAGTAGTTATATTAATATAGGTAGTTAGGCTATATCTCTAAGGTAGAGTAAGAAAGTATAGGATCTATTCTTATATCTTAACATCTTAAATTTACTTACTCTTTATATCCTTATATACTTTCTCCTAAGAGCTTATATATCTAATATAAGCCTTGTCTATAGCTATTAGCTATACTATGCTTATCTAGAACCCTAAGGTGCCTATAATATCTCTACTTAAAAGTAGCTAGATAATAGTATTTATATTATACTTCTAAATTTACTACTTAATAAGGAAGAGAAATAACTTTATATCTAGCACTACTCTTAATATTACTCTATAAGTGCTACTAATAACTCTTACTACTTTTACCTATATACTCTATAGTATACTAAGCATTCTTCTAGTATATAGCTTCTCTTTTATACTAGTATTTAACTATATTAAGCATATATATATTATCTATAGAAGTATAGTACCTTTATAGATTTATTATAGATTAAGTAGGCTAGTGCTCTAGTTAGATTCTTTAAGGTAGCTAAGTACGTTTACTATCTTTATAGCTTTCTATCTAATCTCCTCTATATATTCTTTTTAGTATAGCTTTGCATTTATTATTAGCCTAAGGTACTTATAAGTTACTTTAAGTTATATCTTGCTCTATTTAGTTTAAATTAGTGTCTTAATATTAATATGTTTGCATAATCTTATAAAGTAAGTAAGCTAAAACTTATTTAGAGCAAAAATAGATGCATATATGCTAGCCTAGCACTATACCTTCTTAAGGATTTATCCTAGTATTTTATATATCTACTCTATTATCTTGCCCTATGCAAGGATACTAATATTGTCTATATAGCCTATAGACATAGCTTTTAGTATATTATTATATTTATCTATTAGATCTGCGTTATAGAAGAGGTATAGAATAGGTAACAGTAGTAATTCTTAGGGAATACCTATATTAATCTAATATGCTGTTAACTAGAAGCTGTTAACTACAATGCTTGTGTGCCTATTGCTAAGAAAGCTTATAATCTACTTTACTATCTTCTTGTCTACTTATCTCTTCTATAGATTATAAAGCAGGTATGCGTGTAAGACGTTATTAAAGGCGCTAGAGACATCTAGCAGCAAGAGGCTCGCTACCTAGCTGTTAGTCTAGCTCTATGCTTTGTATATCTTATAGGTGACAGCGTGAAGAGCGTGCTTAGTTAAGCGCATCTTCCTGCCGCCTATATGTGTCGGCGGTAGGACGTGATGGGTCTCGGCTAGGTAGCTGAGTTGCTGTGCCATGACTGCATCCATGATTTTGCCTGTGGTGTTCATCAATCTGGCGATGTCGCGAACCCCTGTCGGTACTTCGGTCAGACTTGCATCCGCTTACGGGAACTGATGAGCAGATCTTCCGCGCTGATGTAATCACATGTGGTAATTAAAATGCATTACCAAGTCAGGCTGCAGCGTTGGCCTGTCAGCAACCGAACGGTTACCGTCACACAACCGCATCTCAGGTGGACCTTTCTCGCGAAAAGACAAGCATTGCTGCGGATATCATCTGAATGGTTCTTAACATCTACGCAGCTCCAGGATACATCAGCGCCACGGGTGCCCTCCATGGCCTCCGCTCCGGCTCCGGCCCTAGCCCCTGAACATACGTTCTCTTCGCCCTCATGTCCTTCACAGTAGATACCAATGAGTCCGCCTCTTGCGCGTTGCCGTTACCCTTTGCCTCGTCCTCGATAGCGCCATCCGCTTCTCGCTCAGATGCCTTACGCTTACGACCACGCTTCCCCTTGGCCTTGTCTGCCGCCGCCTTAGCCGTAGCTGCGCGCTCTTCGCGAACCCTCCTCAGGTCTTCGTATTTCATCACCTTTGCCATTCCGACGACCAACGAGCGCGTCGACCGTCGCACCTTGGCTTCATTGTTGATCCTATACAACAGTCGGTTATGGTCCTGAAGGAGGCTTTATTTGGCAAAGGAAATCTTGGCGGCGCTCTCAAGCTTCCCTACACGTCTCTTCAGACGTTGCTTGTCTGCGTCGTCAAACTCAGCGGCACAGATGTCCTGCTTTATCAGGCTGTGTAGCGATGTCAAGGCCTCTACTGTCACTGGTGTCACAGGCGTTACGGGAGTCAGCGGCACCTCGTTCTGCGACGACGCTGCTGCCACAGTTGCCGTGGAGCTGCTCTGCTCCTTGGGTGGCTTGGGCATGTCACGTAACACCCTTTCTGGATTGAAGGGGAATAAGCCAGCAGCAGCCCACCCGGCCAGGATGTTCCTCTTGGTGATAGCATTGTCCCTAGCTGGCTTATAGAGGTAGGTGAAATGCTGTTTGCCGACAGTGTTCATGCCGCCACGGTTCAATCGCTCAACTTGATCGCGATAGGCCGTCTTCAGAGGCCCAAAGATCGAAATGTCACATGGCTGGAGCTTGTGAGAAGTGTGTGAGGGCAATCGGCAGAGGATGATGTTGTTTGCAAAGCAGAACTCCAGGATCTCGAGCGTCTCGTGCGTTGCGAAGCCGTCGGATAACAGTACGCGAGGTTTGCCGTTGGCTGTTTCTTCAGTCTCCGGATCGAACACGCGGGTCATCCATTCTAAGCTGATCTTGGAATCATTGTAACCTTTCCCGGAAATGCCGTAGTGCCATCCAGGAGTTGGATAGGTAGTCTAGTTGCCCCTGTGGGTGGCAGCTGGCCAGATTATGAGGGGATGCAATGCCCTACCATCAGCACTGACACATTCAACAGCGGTCACTAACGTTCGCTTGACGACGGAACCTCTGTAGCCTTGTAGGTCATCCCTGCCAACAAGGGCTTTTACGGAGCCCAGCTTGCTCAGGAGAACTCCTGTCTCATCCATGTTGTAGACATTCTCGGGACGGACCGCTGGGTCATTCAGGACCTCACTGATCACTCGGAACCACTCCGTCACCTTGCCATATACACGGGTCTCATGGCGCTCCCAGTCTATTGACTTGACTCTTCTTGCTTTGAGTTGAGGATGGCGTCTTCTCGAATGCTCGAGCCCAGTTCTTACCGGGAGGCTTGTTCGGTCTGTTCGCGGGGGACCGGC